TAAAATATCTAAATATAATTATACTTTTTTTTTTTTTTGCAATTTTTTAAGCCAATATCCCTAAATATCGCATAAGTAATGTAGGTAATTTTTCTGCATCATTATATAAAAATAATTATATAAAATAATAAATCTAATTTTGGGTGTTATAAAAATTTTTTTTTAATTATATAGAGAAATAATAACAGTTATACATATATTTGTTTATATATAGTTTAATAATTTATTTATTTAACCTAAAAAGGATTTTTTTTTGGCACTTGCCCGTAACAATAATATATTATACCTTTATTTAAATAAATGTTATTATCGAAATCAAAATTTTATATTAATTTACTTTCAAATAAATTTATTATCTACGACTCCTATGATGTCATTACCATAAATAAATAAATATTTTTTATTTTAATATTATATGAAATACCTATATATTATACCTAAACCTATATATTATTTATTAAAAGTCTATGTAGTTATTTAGAAATAATTTTAAAAATATTTAAAATTTCCATAATATTGGATGTCACATTTCAACTGCATACACTATGGGTATATTAATGTGTATATACCTACATGAATCAAATTCTTATGTGTTAAGTATATATATATACATTATATATCAAGTATATACAATAAAAAATTTATGCTACTATAAAATATTTTTACGATCAAATAAATGCACTTTTAATATTATTTTTTTTTTTTTTTTATAAAAAAAAAAATATTTTCAACTAATTTATTATTAAATATTTTATTATGTATTAATTTCAAATATGCATATATATTTTTTTTAACCCCTATATTATAAATATGGTAATTTTTATGTAATATTGTGTGTTATTTAAAAAAAAAAAACAAAAAAATAATAAATAAAATCAAATTTGAAATATTTTTAAAACTTTAATTAAATAAATATTATTTTGGGGTGAAAAAATTTATGTGTATATACTACATTTATATATAACTAGTATACAGGGTGTTTCGCATAATTTCGGCAAATAATTTCCCAAATGATCAAATTTCTAGCAAAAAATACAGGCTGTAGCTTGAAAGCGAGTATATCTGCATCCACCATCCATATAACTATTTGCTGAAAATAAATAAAAGAATCGTTACTGAAATTATTTACCACATTATGCGAAATATCCTGTATAATAATAAAATAAATAGCATGCATGTAATATGCTTGTATATGAAAAAAAAAATTCCGAATATTTTTATTTTAAGAATTTTAAAAAATAAATAAATAAAATAAAATTTTCTAATTTTAAAATATTTTTTTTTTTCATTTTTTTTTTTTTATCTTCAAATTCACATTGAACTCGTTTAAACATATATATATATATGTATATAAATAATACCAACAATCAATTAAATTTTGAACAACGAAAACAAAAAAATCCATTGCAAAAACATTGAACAAAAACAACAAAAACAAAAAAATTAAAAACTAATTGGGGAAACATTCAATTTTATAACAATTATCTACACATTTCTATGAACCCATAAACATTTGTACAAATAAAACTTTTATAATATAAAACGCACGTCAATTTGAATATTTTTTCCAACAAAAATTTTTTTTTTGTTATTTTTCTTTTTATTATTTTTTGACCATTATTTCAACTATTATTTTTTTTTTTTTTTTAACATTTATATATTCAAATATAAATTGCATTTTAATGGATTAAAATATTTTAACTATAAAATGAACATGTAAAACAATACTAAATATATATAAAAATAAAAATAAAAAATAATAATAAAAAAAAAACATTTAAAATTAAATTGCAAAATGAAATGAAAAATTACCATAATCTCCTGGCTTTTTCTTAAACATATATATATATATATATATATATACACATATATCAAAATAAAATTACATGCAATCAAAAAACAAAAATAACAAAAAACAACTAAAAAACTTGCAATGAAATATAAAAAAATTTTCTACTACAAAATGGTGGAAAAATTGGTTCAACATCCGTGAATAAAAAACAAAATATATAAATATAAAAAATATAAAATTACAATAAAAATTAAATTTTACAAAAAAAAACATAAAACGAACATATTGACAACACAATAAAAAAAAAACGACAATACAACATTAATAACAACAAAATAATCGAAATAATACTCAAAAATTCGAACTGAAACAAAAAAAAAAACAAAAATTCGCACTGAACAAAAAACTATTACTATAAATTTTAAATTATCACTCCAATAACAACAAAAACCAAAATAAAAATACACTACTCGTACACTCCTGTTAACTCTCTCTTTATATCTCATATTCAATTTACCCCGCCCCCCCTCCCAACCACCACGTATTTTTTCACTTAAATTATTTCTCATATCTTAAAAATTTCCAAAACAAAACAAAAAAATTTTAATACATACAAATTTCATTTCTATACGAAAATTCAATATAAATTTTAACATTCATAACACTTGCCATTACCATACAATATAATATAATAAATAAACTCTGCCTGTTATGGTGATTATTTTCTGTCTTAATAATAATAATAATTGACATAAAAATAATATGATCACAACAATAAAAAAAACTATATATATATATACAATATATAATTAAAATAACAAATTACGTCATATATAAAAAACAAATTGTTCAAAAATATCTCGGGCAAAAACAAAAAAAAAAAATTTTTTTTTTAAATTTAATACAATAATAATGACAAAAAACAAAACAAAAAAACTGGGCTGTCATTTTAATTTCATGCATTCATATTGGAATGACGTTCTCCAAATATTTTTTAACCCCTTCTTTTTTTTTTCGTGTTCTGGTACACAATTGAAAAATTGTTCACATTTATACTGTTACATTCGTTTAAAAAATAAAAAAAAAAACAAAATAAAAAATTTAAAATAAAAAAAAAAATTTAAAAATATTTTAATGGAATAATTTATACACACATTTATATTCACAAAACTTACATTTAATAATAACTGCATACATTAATAACATTCTCATTCAAAATAAAAAAAAAACTCAAATTAAATTTAATTTTTTTTTTGTTCTCATTTTGATTTAAAAATTAAATAAAAATAATAATAACAACTACAATTACAATACAACAAAAAAAAAAAAAAATGTTTGGTAAAAAATTTTAAAAACGTTGATGGGCTACTCATTCGGTTCAATGATTGACAAATTTTTATTGCCACCGTTTTATTTTAAACGGATGATGTTTTTTTTTTCTCTCTCTCTCTCTCTTTTCTTCTTTTTTGTTATTTTCCCATTTTTTGAATTTATTTTAACGCGTATTCACATTTATGTGTTTACAATAAAACAAAACAAATGTCCTTATATGAAAAATGTAACATCTGTAAAACATATTTATTTTGATAAATATACTTTGCACATACACACATCTACATACAAACACATTCATTTGTTTTAACACTTAACTTTTTTAAAAATATTTTTTGTTTACGCTTTCATTTGTTTACTTATACACAAACTATATGCGTATAAATATATTTTATAATTTATTTCGATTACCCTACATATATTTTCTGATTTTATTATATACAATAATACACCAAATATTGAAATTCCAAAACTTATGCGAATATTAAACAAACTATTTGACATAATGTGTCATAAATGACAACCATAAAAATACATTAATATTTGTCGTTGATGTTGGAAATAAAAAAAAAAAATTTCCCGAATTTTAACAAAATCTTTTGCTAAAAATTTATTTTTTATTATGTAAAACACTTATTTACAATTTATATTTATTTTATTTTCTTCTATATATATGACAATTTTATTATACTTATAATCCGAACTTGACTTACTAACATACATACATTTATTCATACATATTGTTTATAAAAAAAATTATATTAAAAATTATATTGAAACTGGAACACTTTGTGTATTAAAATCAATATTGCACTCTTACTTAAAAAAAAAATATATACCATCAACCATATACCATTTTGTCATATGTAAATAACAAATATTAACACAAATAACAAAAAAATTAAAAAAAAAAAAATTAAATAAACAATTAAAACAATATAAAACTAAATAAAAAACACAAAATATTTTATAACGGTTTCAATTCATTACAATAATACTAAAAAATATTAAAAAATCCTTAAAATACAAAAAAAAATAAAATAATAAAACGACAACAATTTATTATTTTACACTTGTATTACGGGCCCCGTCCACTAAAATCCACTAAAAATAATTTTTCAATATAAATTTTCTTAAAAATGTGTGCGCTAAAATGAAAATTAACAAAAAAAAATTTTTAAATTGTACATGAAATAAAATAAAAAAAATTATAATAATGACCGTAATAATAAAATAAAATAAAAAAATAATAAAAATGTTAAAAACAATAACGAAAATCAAATTAAAAAATTTACCGGGATACTGGGATATTTTTTTCTGTTCTTCTTATTTATACAATTTGGCTTCATAAACGACGGATATTTATAACGGGGATTTTACATTTATTTTCCATTTTTTTTTCTTTTATTCTTCTTCTTTTTTTTTATATTTGTATTTTTTAACTTCCTTTACACCGTTACAATTTATTTATTGTTCAAACTTTTGGGTTTTTCCAAAAAAAAAAAAAAATTTTTTACATTGTATTACGGGGAATTTTAATTTTTTTTTTTTTTCATTTTGTATCAACTGCAATCGGTTGAATACGGATTTTGTACAATACTTAAAAAAAAATATATATTTATTCTTTTTTGCAATATGGAAATTTTTTTCGGGGTTAAATAAAACAAAAAAAATCTATATATATATATGTATATATATCAACATATTTGAAATGAAAAATTTAAACTATATACAATAACAATGTTAATGATGATGATGACTACGACAACTACAACGATTACGATGACGACTACAACGGCAAATAACAACAATAACAACAACATTAACGGCGATCAACAATTCTATATATATTTATATGAAAATTACTACTATGCAGATACTTCAACACAAAATAGTAAAACAGCCACAATTGAAATGTATGCACCAAGCTCATATAATGATACCGTTACAGGTGAAACATTATCAAGCGTTTCAGAAAAGAGTGATTCATATTCGAATGAAGGCAGTCAACCGGATTATATGGTACGTAAAACTAAAAAAAATAATAAAAAATTAATTTTTTTTTTTCATTTTTAAATTTTTTTTTTAATATTTATTTTTTTTGTATATTTTTTGTGTTCGTTAATTCATTTCCGTACACTCTTTTTGCATCGTTTATTTTGTTATGTGTATAGGTACTCAAAGAGAAAAAAAAAGGGTCCCAAAATAGAATGACAAGGAAAAATTAAATGCAATAATTTTTTTTTTCTTCTCTGTTGTTAATTTACTTGACTTTTTTTTTAATGTTTTCTTTTTTTTTTGTTTTAAATGTTATATTTTGTGTTTACCTGTATACTATAATATTTCACTTTAATTTGATTGTATACCATCAAAATGCAGAGAAATTTTTTTTCTTGAAATTTTTTTGTTTTTTTGTCGTTAAGGTCCATTCAATAAGGATGCAAAAATAAATTCTTTTGACATTTAATGTAATTAACTTTAAAAATGTAATGAAAGAGAAAAAGTGAAAAAAAAAATACCCTGAATTCAAAGAAAAGCTAAAAGGAGAGAAAATTTATAAAATTGTTGATTTTTTTTTCTTCTCTTTTAAATATAAAATTAATGACAATTAGGCTACTCTTTTTACATAAGATTTTTTTTTTTTTAAATAACAAAGCAATGAATAAAGTTTAAGAGTTTTTGAGATGAGTATAAAATATGGGAAAGCTAATATCTTTATTCGGATTGAATCCTAGAACTAATAATGAAATTATTTAAACTTTTGAAAGAATAAAATATAGCTTTTGAATGATCAAATCAAATTAATATGATCAAAATCAAACATTGAAAAGTATGGATATCTAGGTGTCAATTTTAAATTTGATATTTTTATTCTAATACCGAAATATTTAATTCGGCAGACTATACCGAAAATAACATTAAAGGCGTTTTGTATTTTTTTCCTCTTTCATTCTTTTTTCTTAAATAATTTTAATTTGCAATTATATTGGTTCCCCAAACATATTACTTTGTTAATTTTCAATTCGTAATAATTCTATGCTTTTCAATAAAAATTCCAACTAAAATCAATTTCTATTTTTAAATATTACAAAAAAATTGCATACATTTAGGGGCCTACTGCAATATTCTTAATTACATTTTCAACAATATTTTGGAATTTAATATTATAACAATAATTTGCAATTAATTTAAAATTTCGAAATTTAAATTTCCTCAATAGTAATTTAAATACATAATGTTTTTAACTTATAATTAAAATAATAATTAAAATAAATTTTTGTTTATTTGCATATAAATAGACTCTACGAACATTTTCTCTTACATTCTCATTCATAATATTCTTAAATTTGATACTAAATGCCAATGTAATGCAAAAACAAAACAAAAATAATTTCATTTGCCTTCCAAGAAATTTAATAATTAAAATGAAATTAATTCAAAAAAATTCAATTTTTAATAAAAATTCAATTTTATTTCCAATAACAATTTTTTTTGTTGTACAACTTTTTCACTGCTCACAAATTTTTTTTTCTGCAAAATGATAATGAACTAACAGTAAATGAAGAAAAATTATTATTGTAAAAAAAAAAATTGCTGCCTCCTCTCATTCCCCAACGCATAACTGCCCCATTTTTCTTCGATATTATTTTGAATATATGAATTGAGCTTTAATTAACAAAATGCAATTATGCGAGTAAAAAATGGGGAAAAAATTTTAAAAATTTATTCAGTTAAATTAAAAAAGTATAAAAAGCAAAAATTTATCAAAAATTATTCCGAAAAATGAAAATTAAAATCTTGTATTTTCCAAGTGAACATTGTGTACGTACTCACTGTAAAATAAAATTAAATGAAAATAGATTTAAACCAATAATATTTTTTGTCAGATTAACCAACATCAGTACAAGAATAATAGTCGCAATTTATGATTCAAAATTTCAATGCACCACAAAAAAATTTAAAAATGTCAGAAAATTTTTTTTTTATTAATTACAGTTAAAATTTTTACTCATTTCAATTTTTTGAATCAAATTCATTCCACAATAGACCACTAAATATAGAACAAACTATAATTCATTTCATTCGACATATTTGCGAAATTTTAATGCTCTTTTATATTTCATATAGGATTAAATGAATAATTTTTGAATAAATTCCACAATTTACGGTCTTCCATAACTTATTCATTTTGTATAAAATTTTTATTTTTAAAATTCTAAAAATTGCCCATATGAGATGAAATTATGTGCCTAAAAAAAAACCAACCAACCCAAATAATATTGCAGTAAAATAACATTTTTGCATGTTATGTAAAATGAAAATTGTAAAATATTGTCGGCAAAAGATTTAAGTTAAAATTATGGCGAATAGCTGCTGTCATTCTAAGAATAGAATTTTAGAACAAGATATAAATATTTACAGTGATTTCAAATAAAATTTGTGCACATCAAAATACAAAAATCTTTATATAAATGATTCCTTCTTCACTCGTAGGACGAGCATAGGCCTAGTGCATGACATCGTAGATAGTCATGTTCCAACTTCAATGTGTAATAGAATTGCTATGTTAATGTTAGTGACTAGCCTGCCAAATTACAAAGAATATACCTACATAATATTATCAAATTTCCACAGATATTTTAATTTGATGTTCAAATTCTGTTTTGAATTACTGTACTCTCCAATTCAACCACAATATTTTCTATAAAAAATGTTCTTACCATTTTCTATAACATAAGTATTTCGTTTCGTTGAATAGTTTTTCAATATATATATATATATATATTTATATATGTAAATATATATAGGTATCCAAAAATAGTATGGTTTATTTTACATAAATATTGAGAATGAAATATATTGCGTGTTTCCTATGGTCAATCGTGGTGTAGAATTAGCTTTTCAATGTGATTTATTAAATTAGGATGATTTTGGTTATAAAACAAAATAACAAGTAGTTCATGGAATTTTACAGAATTTCACTTGGTTTTAAGAAATAATAAAATTTTTTTTTCATATAATATGTACAAATAATTTGTTTTATATAACATGTACATTAGTTATGATAGGAAGAAACGTTTTTAATGTATAACATTAATATAACAATTTCAATTTAGTTATTATATTCATTTTTTTCTATGCAACAAATAATAGTAATAAGTACTAATCTTTTACTTATAATTCTATAAATCCTTAAAATTCTAAAATTTTTCAATAATTTGAATATATGAAATTGTGGAATATGCAACTGCAACTATTACAAATGTTGAATTATAAAATATTAAATTTCGTTATACAATTTTTTGTCTTAGAATAGAACATCATTTTTATTCTATGTCCACGATATGACGTGTGATATTTTTTTCACATATGGAAAATATTTGAAAATTTTTCCAATATAAGACAAGTAATACAATATTTTTTACTACAGCCCCATTTGTGAACGGTGTTGTGCAAATTTACTGTTAAATTCACTATTATAACAAATTACTTTGTTATGATAATGGAACCACAAATTTAAATCATGGTTTTTTATAAAGTATTCATCTTAAAACGTGTTTATTTAAAAATCTTCCTGCATTTTCGCACTGTTCCATAAAGTAAATGAGCTTTCAACTTTAATAAAAAGTAACTTCAAGAATTTCTGAAACTTCTTTTGAACCTTTGAAAAATACAAACTAAAACATCAGCTCTTTAGCACTCTACTCTTTTGTATTATTATATTTAGTTTTAATCCTTTTTAATTTTGTGCGTATTCTGAAGTAGAACAAAAATAAAAGAGTAAATAATTTTTTGAAGTTTCGTTTCAATTTTTTTTCTTATAAATTAATTCCTTTAGGGAAAATTATGAGCAAACAACAATTTTTTCTGGTATATCGTAATTCCTGCACTCTCCTTTAATACTTCTATTCATATTTTATAAATAATAAATATAATAAAATTTCATTCCTACACATATTTTTTTTTTCATCTTATTAAAATTCATTTCCTCAAGGACGAAACAAACAAAAATCAAGAAAACCAACAAAAAGGAAAGAAAACAAAAAGCAAAAGAAAGACTGCTCTTCTTACATTTTTATCTGTTATCCTTCCTTAATTTTAGAGTTCATTGTGCGTTAGTCTTGAACGCTAAGTCAAATATGAAATATTAAAGTTGTATATTAAAAAAAAAACAGTTTAATTTTAACTATATAACAGAGAAGAAGAAAATACAAAGAAGAGAATTGTTTTTTATGCAATTTCATATTTTTTTATTGTCTGTTGAGGGTGAGGGCAAAATCCTTGGGGCATTATTTTCAACAATTAGCTATTTACTAAAAAGGATATTTTTATTCTGTTATATTAATAAAAAAGAAATTATTAAACTTACATTAAACACGTAAATGAACAACAAAAAAAAAAATAAAGAAAAATGAAATTGTTGTTGTTTGAGTTGAAATTTATAAAAAAGTGCTAGAAGCTCTGGAAATTCCTGCTACTATATTCCTCTGGAGATTATTTTTATTAGGAAATTTGAAAAATTTAATTTCAAAGTTATGTAGAAAACACACAAAAAAGTGCTGTATAACAGTTATAATAGGTATACATAGTATTCCAAATTAATTTACTTATTAGATAAATATCTTTAGTTAATGTAGTCTTTATTAAATGTTCTCAATTGAGAATAATGAGCTCCGTACTCATACTGATAGCGAGGCACAAAAAATTATTTAACAAAATAAGTAGTACGTCACACTCCAGCTACGTCTATAATATTTACACCTAATTATGCTTACAATTGTATTACTAAAAACTACTTGAAACGCTAATAAATTAATGAAAAATTTCTTGAAAACATGATTAGGAGAGAAATGAATTTTCGTGTAACATTACCATAATTAAATTTACATAATTACGTACTAAGAGTATAGAGATTAATTTCAATATTAAAATTATTTCAATACTGGCTTTTTATAACAATTTAATATTAAATTATAATGTAGGTGTTTATCTACAATATTAAGATGCAAACACAAAACATTAAACTCTTAAAGTATAATAAGAGAAATTCGAACAAAAATAAAATCCTTTGGAAAAAATCCTTCGGAAATTGTGAAAAACAGAGAAAACCAGAAAAAAAAATGCTCAATTTTTATTCTACTGGCAATTGTTTTTCTCTGCCTTTTATTTTTATTCACTCATACTCATCATAGGTTAATCCTCTAAGGGCCTAGGGATAAATGTAATAATATCCTTGTTCGTTGTTGTCTCAATTTTGTACATCTTTTTTTTCTTTTTTAGTTAGTTTTATATTTTCATTTAGTTGAAAATATTTTCGCTTCATTTTCCATGTCTTCTATCAACAAATTCTTTATTACTTTATCCCATTTGATTATTTTTTCTTGTCTTTTTGCCAAAAATCCAAAAAAAAAAAAAGACTTTTTTCTTTGAAAATTTTTAGGTATTATGAACTTTAACATATATATTTTCTTCAAATATTATTATTAGCAAACATGTTTAAGGCTTGATTGTATGTTTTAAGTCTTCATTGCCCCCCTAATGGGTTTATTATATCAGTTATCAATTTAATTCTATGTTTAATTTAGAAAACCTGACGTCAGAGAATTTTTTCTCCATTTGTTATAACAATTCTTCGAACTAATTAAAATTTTGCCTAAGAATCGTTTTAAAAATGAACAGTTCAAATAATATTGAACGCTTTGATTTCGTATTGAATCAATTTTGAGAGTGCTGCCATATTACAAATTGAAATATTTAGAATATTTCCAAAATTTTACTTTTAATTAAACTTTAAAAATTTTTAGGTATTGACTTTTTCTAACCTATATGAAATACCTAAATTAAATTTCAATACAAATGGTATAACAGATTTCAATATAACAATGTGGTCTTAGAATACTGTGAGACATAAAAATTCCATAACAATTATTCCTTTTTTTTTGTCCTGCTAATAATAATTTTGGCAATATTTCTTCAGTTTTTTTTTTGTTTCTGATTTAATTTTATTGTTATTGTTTGTATTTTTTTTCTGTTCGACTTAATGTTTCTCGTCTTTTCTTGTTAAGACATTTCCGGTCTTCTTCTTTCAATATTGTTTATATTTTTTGTCTTGTTAGTTTTTTTTGCTTATGCTTTCTGTTTCTCTTTTTCTGTGCCTTGATAAATAAACATAGAATTATTTCTCAGACTTATTTTCTGTTTTGTTTAATTTTTTTTACTGTCCTTTCTGTTATATTTGTATTACATTTTGTTCCTTTTAGAAATACATATATACGTACATAATAATATTATATTTAAGGATCCATTCATGTAATATTTTTTTTGATCATATTTTCTCTTTTGGAATTTTTCTAATTCATTTTTATGCTTTTTTTTTTGTTATTTTGTATTCTATCTAACATAACATAGGATGAAACACGCAAAAAAGCTGCTTCAACATACCTGGTAGAAAATTCAGATATACCACCGCCAAGATATCAAAAGGATGGTACATTGCCAAATATGTATCCTAATAATATAGGTAAGTTTGGTTATTTTTATAATATTATATATTTGTGTACTATATTATAATATAATGTATTAAAAGCACATAAACTGGTATACAGAAATAATTACATTAAACCCGTGAAGGCATATTGCTCGTTTTATTGTTTGAAAACTATAACAACTCAAAAAAAAACGTAAATTTCTAGGCAAATATCATTATTGGTGCAGCATATTTTCTGTGCGCTATATCTTGGACATAAATCAATGATTCTTTTTGTCTTGGACACAAAATCATATTTTTGTAGAGTTAAAATTTTCCGTGAGAAACACTACAAAAACGTTCATTACTTAGTTGTACAATATATCGCACCTACATTGCCTTGTACCACTTACTAAGTCTCTTTCCCTGTAAAATTCCGTTCCAAAATAAGATATGGACAATTCATTCGTAAACGCTTTTTTAATTAATATGTTTTGAGTTACAACAGTTTTAAAATGAATGACTACTACAACATTTTAGAATAATACAATAGTAATAACAACGATAATAATAATAAAATAATAAAAAATGAGCAAAAAATGAAAAAAACAGAAAACAAAAATGAAAATGAAAAAAAATGAAAAGATGGACAATAAGTACACAAGACAAGATCTTGATCATCATAGACTATATACAGTTATTTAGAAGATTGTAACAATTTACACAATTTCTCTTTCTGTTTTTTTTTTATGTCATTATGGTTTTCCACTTCCCGAGGTATATTCAATTTGTTACGACGTATGTAATGTCCATACAAACAAGAAGAAAACCCCATAAAGTATATAAATTCTTGCTCAGAATAAAGTTCTAATTCGATTTAGTTATGTCTATCCGGGCAAGTCGTCTATTGTTGAAACGCTCACTTGAGAGAATATTTGAAAATTCGTAAATCGGTGTTAAAAATGAAAACTGAAAATTCGCCAAATATATGGTCAGTAAAATCTCTAAAATAACCTTGTAAAATACAAATTTTATTGGAACTTTTTTTAACTTTAATTCTTCTGGATTCCAGCTCATAATTTCTTGTAATATTTCGAGTCGTAAGACATAGTTTACTTAAAATAGTCGGGTATAAAATTTTAGCAAAGACCAAAATCAACTTTTTTACTTGTTTTGCCTCTACTCTTTTGGAATTGTTTTTTTTTTTTTAATATTTATATTAAAAAAGGAATACGGTTGTTGTTTCAATTAGAGATGTTGTCCAAATAAAGTAAGGGGGAAAAAAATAAAGAAAAATAAGAAAAACATTGAGAGTAAATTGTTAGAAAGAGAAAAACATCTTTATAAGTGTGTAGTTGAGTTTTTAAGAATATTTTTTTTCTCTTTCAATTTTTTCTCGATTTTTTTTTAAATAACTTCTATTATTATTATATTTTTCACTGGGTATTATGTTGGCAAGTCAAACATCATAAAAAAAGCACAAAAAGGAAGAAGAAAAACTTCATTTGAGAATGAAAAAAATGAGAGAAAAAAAAATTTAATGAAAAGGATTTCTTTCCCTTTTCCTACTTTGTATTTCTCTTTTACTTACTTTTATAGCTCCTCTTTTTCTTCATCATTCGCTATGTTGGGCCGTCTGATCCTATACAATATAAAATAAAAAAGTATATAAGTATAAGAGAAAAAATTACAATAATAATATTTTTATAAGAAGTAGAAAATTGTTACATTCATTTTTATTTTCTAATATACAACACTAAAGTTAAAAAGAAAAATAAAAAATAAAACCAAAATAAAAGAAAATTATTTAATTGAATGGAATGAGAGTATAAGGGTATTTAATTTATTTATTTCAGGTAAAATAATTTTTATGTCTGCTCATTCAAGGACAACAACTAACGACTATCAACGATGACGATTTTTTTTCGCTCTTATTTTATTTGGTTTTTTTTTTTGTTGGTATAAATATCGTAAAAAAAAAAACAGGGAAAAAATAAATATTATATAAAAATATGTACATATAATTTTTACGGTACTTTAAATTTTATTACATTAGATACATACATACCCACATAAATGTATATAAGTATAGGGCTCGTATAATAATAATTTTTCTTTTTATTTTATTTTATTATAATTGAACCATTTAAATTGCATACTTTTAGGGATTTTTTTTTATACTCATTTTTCTTCATTTTTTCTTTCCTTTGAATGTCATTAAAGATGATAGTGTAATAAAAACAACAAAATGGTATTAAATATATATATATATATTTGTATATGGAAAAAAATATTTGTATAATAATTTTATCATACCTTCAGGTAATATATTATATTATATGCAAAAATTTGAGGCGATCCAAAATTAACTGAGTTAATGTATAGAGTTTTTTGTTTGATAACTATTTGAATTTAATAGACTAAAATAACAAGAAAAATGATCAAATGTGAAACATGTGCTTTACTTGTCCAGGACAGCTTTCTTGATTATATATATTTAATATGTTGTTTTATAAAAATTTGTTTCACATCTTGAGGTCTAATTCTTATTATTTATATTACATGTTATGTTTATTTGGATACGAAATAAAGACTATTCATATAATTTTAATAAAATTATAGGCCTTTTAATAAAACTGTTTAAGAAATTAATTTTATAATAGCAAGCAGCCTTTGATACATATATACAATTATTATATTTATGTTTGTAAGGCAAACATATTGAAATAACTAATTAAACATATTAAATATAATTAAATTTGCTTTATTATATATTATTATTAATTGAGCATAGCTTCCACAACATTAACTATTTTTCATCAAATATTTGATGTGATGTGATCAAGTACTTCAAAATTTCGAATTAATTAAAAAAAAATTCTATGTATCAAATTCTAAGCCCATAATTTTTTCTTTAATAAGTTCACTAACAAAACACTTCTTCATTATTAATATGTACCTTTTTAAATTTAAATTGGAGCTTTGTTTTATTATCTCAATTTAATATACACAAACATTAATATTATAACCGTAAACTTTAATATAATAATAATACTTTTCATATATGTATCTTGGGAAATTTAATTCAAATATCCTTTGATTTATAGAAACTAAACAGCCCTTAAGTATGAAAATAAAACATGACAAACACACAATATAATACGCATATAAAAAAAAATATACATATATATATATATATATCCATACATATTTACATTGCATATATTTTGTTGTGTCTTATTTGTAACAAAGGTAAACAATTTAAGGATAATACAATTTATTTCCTTAAAGACATTTTACAATGTATTACATATATATGTATAAACGCAAAGGAAAAATACAAGAAAATATTTCTTAACAAAAACAGAAAAATACAAAAAAAATGTAAAACGAAAAATTATTTCATAAAATAACCTTATAGGTAAAATGAAAATAAAACAAGGTCCATACAAATTCAGTAAAGAAAATAAAAAAGAAAAATATGTCTTAAATAGATTTTTTATTATTAAATATATTGTCCTATAAAAATAACATGAATGCCGGGCACAAAAAAAATATATAACATAAAAAGACAATAAAAAAGTAAAATTAAATAAAAAAAAAAAAAAAAAACAAAAATAATAATGGTGTCACAGGACAAAAACACAAAAATGTTAAAAAGAAAAACAAAAGTCATATAAACAGATCACGAAATCCTCCTATTGTTTAACATATATAAATATTACGCAATATAAAAATAACAAGGTGCCATCATATATACGTTAAAAAGGACTCTTATATATATATACATCAAACCATTGAGTATGATTGTGTATTCACAAAAAAAAAAATACAAAATATGAAGAAATTGTTGAAGGAAAATAATGGACCAAATTGGATAATGATACAAAAAAAAAAACAAAAAATAATATCCTTAAAAATAAAACATGAGAAGGACATAAGAACCCAAAGAAATTATCAAAAAAAAAAATTGCACTTGACTTAATATTTTTAGTCTCTGTGTATGTGACTAAAAGCCATTTTTATTATTTGCACTCACTCATTCTCTTTTTTTTTGTTTTTTGGTTTTTTTGTTCCTTAAAAACAAAAACAAACTTACATAAATATGAGTTTCTTTTTTGAGTAAACCATGCGATAGAGAATTGAATATTTTCTATATAACCTGAGAAAAAAAGTTATATACATTTATACTGATATCAAGTAAATTAAATGAAAATTATTAGACAGGAGCAGTGAAACGATAAATATTAAGGAAAGGCCATCTGTTTTATAACATTTGACCAATTCTAAATATCCTAATATTACGATGTATATATATATATATATATATATATATATATATGTTCTTAGTGTTATACACATTATTTTATGAAAATATTTATAAAATTACCCAAATCTTACAAAAAAATATTAAAACAGAAATGAAATATAATAAATTTCCTTTTACTATTTATAATACACACTAATTTAGAAAATTCAGAACTTCGTAAACGTAATTCCAAATTCGTAAAAAATAAGAGGCCGTAAATTTTAAACTATGACGAATTTAGGTTTCTTTTTGTGATTTGCTATTCAAAAAAAACTGCCTAGGTTTATATTCTTTGTCATGTATTTCATGTACTTATTAATTTAGTTCCGAAATCATAAGTAAATTTCGGAACAACAAATTTGCATTCGCAACATATTTTTTCCAGATCAAGAAATTTTTCTGGGGGCCGCCAATATTATATTTACTTCTAAATAATTATAGCCGCTTTTTAGTTTTTTTTCGTTTTTATAGAATTAAGCGCAGCTGGTAAAATTTGAAGTGCAAAATTTAAATAACTATTATTGAAATATTATAAAGAGAACAAGAAATTTTCAAAGAGAAAGTCTATACGACGATCCTGTTTTGACAATTTTATGAATAAATTTCTTACATGAATATTGAAAATTTTCCTTCTACTACGATTTATTATAGTGATCGCAGTATACAACTATTAAAGAATATTTAACGAGTCTATTAGATTTTTAACATATTTTTTCTTTATTTTTCGTTTGATATTCTCATTATT